GCGCGGAAAGGGGTCCTTTACATTTACAGATCGTGGGGCTAAATACCCAGAGAAATTAGAGATGGTTCTGGCTGCTTGTTAGCCAGATATCACATCTATCAGCAACACAGTTGTTACATCTAACATGATCTAATACCACTGCAACGGGGCACCGAGGAAGAAGATAGATCTCCTTCTTTTTCTGTCTTCTTTGTTCAACAACTGTAAGCTCCTGCGGAAAGTCCTGCATGTTCTTCCATCTGGACTGTGGCATTGTGCCAGGGCTTAAATTTTGCGTGCACATCTGTTTTACTGACTTATTTGTGTGTAGCTGGTTGTTCCTTGGACAGATTCACTCCGGATTCAAAAGAAGTCACCAATTAGACGACTTCTACGATGGGGTCCCGGAACCCACGCCGGGAGAATATAGAACAACAACGTTAAAGACTTTGTACTTTCGCACTGAACGACAACAGCTGGTGCCAACCACTGAGAGCTGGAGACAATAGTTATTCATCCCCACGTCGCTTGATGGTCAAAGAGAAAGATGACAACGACAATGATGGTGTTGATGATACTTTTTCTAAATCTTGTTTTGCTTCTTCTTCTTCCTGCGCCCCCCCCCCCCCACCCCCACCCCCTCCCCCAGGTGGAAAAGTATTATTATTAAAATTATCATTATGTGTTGCGTGTCAAATAAATATAATAAGATACGGGAAATAATTCTGAAGTGTGAAAGCAAATACACAAACAGTGAGCGCCAGCACATGGCTAGGTGTAACTGCTTAGCAGCGTGCAAATTATCTTTTACTTGGGGAGACGGGGAGGCTCAAGGTGCCTCAGCCGCCAGGTGGCGTCGCTGCTGTAACCTACCACGGTGCGGGTCATTGAAGAATAGACCCTATGCATCCCTAATAAAAGGTTAGTTGCGTATCCTTTACAGGACGTTGCAGAACCAACCCCAGCAGCTCCTGGCTGTTGTTTGATTTCTCTAGGCAAATTTACGTCCAGTAGTTTGCCATTGCTGCCTGGACGGTCGGCCCCTGATACCACTGTCGAAACAAACGCAAGGCGCATGGCCAGCAGCTGGAATCGAACCCGGTACCCCGACATTACGAAGCGTTGGCATCGACAGCCACAGAGCCGACGTCCCCAATAAGCTTGCCCAAAAGGTAATAAATCTGGAGTATTTGCTTCGAAGTCTGAGTGCATCTGCCTGAGAAACAAGGAACCAACAGTTTGCATCAAAATAAATCAGATCTGTAAACCGGACGTATTGGCGAAGTTCATGTTCTGTAACAAGACCAAACTCAAGAAGTGGACGATCACCGGAAATTTCCATTGGAGATTATAGACGGGAACGCTCAGAAGACTAAGATAATCGTCACTGTCTCTCTGTCTTCCTTCTCTCTCTCTCCCTCTCTCTCGCTCTCTCTCTCTCTCTTCTTCTTCTTCTTTTTCTTCTCTAACCCCCCCCCCCCCCCCCCCCCCCCCCCCAATCCCCTGAACAATTTTCAACATGCTGTCATTATAATCCTCTTGTTTATAAAGTGTTTGATAAGATTTGTATGTTTGTTTGTATATGTATTTTTTTTTCTACTTACAGTTTCTTGCCCACTCAGTACATCATGGATTTACCACTTCGCTAGACAAATCTGCAATACAAAATTGGTTTCGGAGTTTCGAATACCCGGCCAGGCTGAAACCTTAGTGTATTCAAGAATGCCAGGTAGGAAATGGTCACGTAGAAATGTAACCATAATTATCTGGTTTGAATTCTTTCGAAGTCAGGAGACTGGAGTAATCCAAAATTAGTGCAACAATTGTTGTATGTATAAATACAGTACGACTAATTTTGAAAATATAGATAAATTATGCTTATCTCTTTCAGTCTAATAACTTTTTGCAGCAGTTGCTTAAGGAGAGAAATAACCATTATGAACAAACACGAATACACAAATTTTGAAGAGGCAACTGCAAATGCCAGATTTCTTTAGTATTCTATAACCAAATGCAAAAAGTAACACAGCACATTGGGTAATGTTTGAGGTTTATAAGAAAGAATATATCACACATAATGCGCTGTTTGGGACTAAACTAATTAATTGACATTGTGCCATTTATACGAAGTATTTATCACTCTCAGAGAACTTTGCCGAAATCGCAAACTCTGGACACACGCTCCTCCACCATTGAGAAATCTTTTTTAGGAGGGGTTTCGTATTTATAATTGTCTAGGGGTGGGGTGGTAGTATGAATATGTTTTTATAATTTTTTGTGTGCATACTTATGTTTGCGAAGCCCGACTTTTTTAAAAAATGACCTTGGCTCCTAGCCTTGAGTGGGTACCGGGTGCAGTCCCGGGAAGTAGAAGCGTCCGGAGTGATGCTGACCACATCACCCATCTTGTACCGATTGGTCTATAAAAACTATAGGTCTAGCCCTATATGCCCTATATGCCTAGAGGAGTGGAAAAGTGTCCTTTCCTTACTTTTACTTACTTATGTTTGGATGTCTTAATAACGGTGTCATTTAGTATATAAGTGGCATCTTGTTTCTATTTCCGGATCTATCCCCACGTCCCCTGAGATTACACTTTCTCGTTACTTACATTCGTTAAGTTGCTTTAGCGCAGTACCAAATATCCCGACCTGTAACAGACTTGGGATTCTGCTGCCACACATTAATTTTCAAAGTAAAGATTATTATCTTTACTATTAGTATTTACAATTTTTCAAGAATAATTCTGACAGGAGGCCACGAGACTGAAGATTCAGGGCCGCATGACTAAGTGTCAGCTTGTCGTTTCCCTTCCTCTGGGCTTCTACCTAATGGCCTGAGACGATAGCATCCCAAACTCCAAGACAGACCAACAGGGAAATCCCCTAGATACCCCTTTGAAGATCCGCCGAATTTATAATTACGGCGCCCGTAGTGACTTCATCAGTCCTGGCGAAACCTGCAGCAATGTACGGGTAGTATAGCTGGTTTTTAACCAATGAACTGTGTCTGAGTAATTCACCTTAATGAAGATTTGAACATGTGACCGAGCAGTTGTAGGCGACGGTGCTAGACACTTCACTACTTGGATGGACGCGGTCGTGAAGGTTAGTTACGGTTTCTGATACATGTTCAGACTGAACCTACGCTATGAAGGTTTCTTTACTCTCACATTCGTGTTCAGACTGAACCTACGCTACGAAGGTTTCTTTACTCTAACATTCGTGTTCAGACTGAACCTACGCTATGAAGGTTTCTTTACTCTAACATTCGTGTTCAGACTGAACCTAGCTATGAATGTTTCTTTACTCTAACATTCGTGTTCAGACTGAACCTAGCTATGAAGGTTTCTTTACTCTAACATTCGTGTTCAGACTGAACCTACGCTATGAAGGTTTCTTTACTCTAACATTCGTATTCAGACTGAACCTTGGTATGAAGGTTTCTTTACTCTAACAGAATCACATCCGGTGCATTTGGTTCTTCCTTGGGCGGTTTTGTTTCCCTCATAGGAATGGTGCTTCGAGGAGTGAACAGCACAACTGGCCGACGCTCAACATTCAAGGGAAAGCCGAGACGGATATACAGTCAGACTTTGTGGTGTCACCGAAACTGGAACTCTGCCCTTGTCGCTGAAGATGCGGACAGAGCGCTTGTGGGAAAATGATGTCAATCCTCAATTCATAATTCATCCTTACAGGTCACACATGAAGACTTTTGTCTCACAGCACGACCTTCGTGGCACCAAGTGACATCGACATTTACGTCTACATCGATAATCGAGCAGCTGACAAACGTGTACAGTTTTTTCGTAAATATATTCTATATATATCTAAATTCGGCAGCCACAGTGGTGTAGTTGCTAGACACTCGCCTACGGGTCAGGAGGTCTGAGTAGGATTTTTTTAATCAATTATCTTTTTACCCAGGTCGACCTATCCTTAAATCGGTACGAGGTAAAGTGCTGGGAAGTAAAGATGGCCGGCGTGATGCTGACAATATCATCCACCTATTGTCGATCGGGTTATTATTTTTTTAGATCTAACCATGTATGTGTGCCCAATAATACAATCTCAGACACTAAACTACTTCAAGTTACAAACCAAGAAACTTTAGACAGTATGATAACCAAGAGAAGATGAAAATGGCTTGGCCACGTTATGAGAATGAATCCTGATATACCTGCCGATACGGCTCTCACATGGACACCAGAGGGAAAGAGAAAACAGGGGCGCCCAAAAACAACATGGAGACGAACGATGGAAAGTGACCTGAGTGCGGCATCTCTAACATGGAAAACTGCACTAAAGATTGCGCAGGACAGGAAAGCATGGAAAGTCCTCTCTGAAGCCTCATGTGCCACTAGGCATAACGAGAACTGATGATGATGATCATGTGTACCCAATACACCTGAAAGCATAATAAAGTGTCCTTTGCTTTTAGTTTTGTAAATCCAAATCCTTTTCATTTCTGTATCCTTTATATGTTGCTGTTGACACATCAGACATTCACAGGTAATCTCACTTGTTGCCGTTCTGTTGGTTTTCTACTCAGGTTATCCCATGTCATTTCACATTCCTTCATTTCCCTTTCTATTGTATTTCTGTTGGGTTCCTTGGTCGCCCTTGTAAATGCATTCTTCCATTAAAAAAAAAATTAGCTTCATGAATGCTTCCATAATTACGGCTGATGATAAATAACTCAGAATTCTTGTGTGAGCTATTTCAAAGAGTTTGATTTTTGTTTCAGTCATTCCTGAGCCCCAAGCGTGTTTTATGATTAAAGAGCTTTTTTTAATGAAACATATTGTTTTGTGTAATGTAATTTCATGACATGAAATGTTTCAATAATTTCATGTTTTTATACATATATGAATCCTTTTAGCATCAACTATGGAATTAATTACTTTTAAAGATATTTGCTCTGTGAAAGATAATCTTAAATGACCTGAAGACAACAAAGACAAACTGCCTTTGACATTTTAATTACCGGAAATCAAGTTACAGACAAGATAGGGCACAATGAGCTGCCCAATCAAGAAAGCAATGGAAGATGACTTGATGAAGGCTCGAGCAACGGCTCGACCTGGCGGTGTCATGGCAAGAGGGGATTTCCGAAGATCAAGCAGTACCAGCGAATCATCAGTGAACCCCAACAGCAAGAAAAACTCCACGTCTAGCAACAGTATCTCTAACGATGCTGGCACCAGCTCGATCACCAACTCCCTACCTTCCTCTCCTGGAAGATCGTCCAGTTCTGGAGATGTACCCTCTAAACGGAGGATATCACCTGCCAGTTCGAATCCCGGTGTCAACATCAAGAGCTCGCCACCCCACGCCAACCCGGCCAAGTGTTATACTATCCAAGAGGATAGTCGTGCCAAAGGAGGAGACGACAGTTCAGAACCCAGCAACTACGGCTCAGGAGAGGGCTCTCCCAGGCGCAGGAAAGCCAGCACCCTCTCTACGACCTCGTCTTTTGCATCTGAACAAGATAGCGAGACAAGTGGCGAGCAAAAAGTGGATGTTAAGTCGCTGATCGAGGGTGTGGGCACTGTCATCATACCAGCA